TTGGTAACCCGTACCCCCCCCCCACCCCCCACCACACACACACAGCCAGAGTAACACCTCCCTCTACTAGTAGTCCCATATCCTTATTCATGTTACTAGTATTTTAAGGCCAGATTTTGCCAACCTTATTCATTCGGCATAGTACTTGCTTATTGCCATTGGGTGCTCCCTGGCGTCCATTTGCCATTCCAATGCTTCCGGAGCCCAAGGAGGAAGAAGGCACCACAGGGTTGCTACGTCCCCCACTCATGACGGATGTCAGGAGGGGGCAGGAAGTGGGAGGAGCGTTGACTCCGCCCCCTCCCAGAGGCCTAACTGCATCAGGCCTAGCCGGAAGGGACCTTGAGAGGTCATCGAGTCCAGCCTCCTGCTGCAGGACCAAGTAAACCTAGACCCTCCCTGACAGCTCTTTGTCCAACCTGTTCTTAAAAACCTCCTCCGAGGGGCAGTCCACCAACTCCCTTGGAAAGTTTTTCCTCAGATCTAGCCTAAATCCCCCTCGCTGCAGATTAAACCCATTGCCTCTTGTCCTGCCTTCAGTGGACATGGAGAACAATTGATCACAGTCCTCTGTGTAACAGGCCTTACCATATTCAAGGGCTGTTATAAGGCCTTCTGTTCCCCAGATCAGACATGCCCAGTTTGTTTAACCTTTCCTCATAGGTTGAGTTTTCTAACCAACCCCTTGATCACTGTGGATGCTTTCCTCTGGATTCTCTCCCACTTGCCCACATCTTCTCTTAAATTGTGTGCGGCAACAACGTATTATCCACCTGGTCTACAACCTTTGCTGAGTACGCCCATTGAAGTTAATGGAGCTACTTATGGAGTAAGCTGCTACTCAGCTGGAGTAATGGTATCCGAATCTGGCCCTTTCTGACAGGAAGCAACACCTCCATGTGGATCACACAAACAAACAACAAAAAGTCTCTCCCCACCTGTGAAAGACACCCTTCAATAAAGCCCCAGTGTAACCTGTTTTTAACAACAGATAAAGACTTAATTTCCGAGAGGAAGTGTGAAGTACAGTAGTAACCATTTCAAGATCAACAACCACTGCTGGGCTTAGTATTGCATGCGATTTTACGGCAGTAATTAAAGGTTTCTTGGTGCATTGTGAAGAGCCAGGAGGTAACTAGCAGTTGGAAAGGTATTGTTTGTATTCAGAACCTAAGGTTAAAAGGTGGTTTTTATAGCAGGTTTTTTTGTTGTTGTTGTTTTTGCACCTGTTGAATTGTCTACTTTTCCAGCTCCAAACACATCTTCTTCCCACTTTTAAATGTTACGTAAGTGCATTTATTAAATGAATACGGGGGTTGTTTTCTTTCTGGGTCTTTCAAAAATCTCTTGCTATTGTTTCTAATGGGAAATAGAATCCCTTTATCATTCTAGTTTGTCAAATATTGATTGAATCCCAAACGATGTTACAAGAACAGTAAGGGTGCAAAGTCGGCTTTAGGAAATGCCAGCATTCAGATTGCCTGTGCAACTTTCATTTGCCCCTCTCTCCCCCGTGCAGATACATGATACAGTCTGAAAAACCAGAAAGTCTATCATGTGGAATCACATTGGCACCCGGACAGCTCATCAGCAACGTTGGAACCGTTCGATCCACAGGACCGACTTCTGCCACTCCAATTAACACAGGTAGCAGCAGTAGGTTGTCATCTTATATGTGGGCAAGCACTAGAGCAGGGTGAGACACACCCTTTGGCGGTGGGTTTCACAGATATTTGCTGACAGCACATGGTGAGTCTTAGAAATCTCTGTTCCAAGTTTTCAACAGGGAAGTGGGCTCTTGGGATCACAGACCCTTCTGCCTCTGTTCCCACCAGCCTGTCCCAGTCCAGCTCCTTGGGCTAGTCTCCCTGATCAACCAGTCCCGGTCTTCATCCCTACTCCCAGCTTGCAGGCCCAGGCTCCCTCCAGGATCCTTGTCCAACTCAACTCTCTCTGATGCCCTCCCACACCCCTCCAGTCTGGCTCTGGTCCCTTCTGCCTCCTCCTGCATGCTGCCTGGCCACCAACAGGGAGAGCACTAAACCACAGGCTAGACAGTCTCCCTGCTCTCAGTTCCTGTGTTCATCACCACAGTGGCCCAAGCGGCCTAGAGCAGCAACTGCAGAGAAAATGCTGCATGGGCTGGAGCATGCTCAGTGCAGACAGAATCTTCAGAGAATTTAGCTTCCAAATTCTAACCTGTCTCTACCAAGCACGTGCAAATTGAGATTTTTCCAAATTTGGGCTGTTCTTCATAGGGAGGGCACAAGACACATCCCTGACACCACGGCACCCCTCCTCCCAAATGCTAAATCCCTGCTCCAAAGCATGGAGGCCCAAGAGCTTCTCAATGAAACAGCTGTAAGAATTCTTTGAACAGGGGCAAAACAATGCATTCTTCGCTACTCTTGTTCTCGGAAAAGGCTGAAACTTTCCCCCTTAAAGAATTCAACCTGAGGCAGACACCCGGCATGGAAAACTGCCACCCAAATAGTTGAACTTTGACAAAGTTATAAGTAACTGAAAACAGGGTCTTATACTGGGAAGTGTTGGGTAACCTTAAAGGAAGCATGTTTAGCTAAGGAACATGTATCCTAGAACAGTGGTTCTCAACCTGGGGTCCGGGGCCCCTTGGGGGGCCATGAGCAGGTTTCAGTGGGGCTGCCAAGCAGGGCCAGTGTTAGACTCGCCGGGGCCCAGGTTAGAAAGCCGAAGCCCCACCACCTGGGGCTGACACCCAGGGCCCTGAGCTACATCACCTGGGGCTAAAACCGAAGCCTGAACAATGTAGCTTCATGGGCATGGGGCCCCAGGCAGTTGCCCTGGTTGCTACCCCCCTAATGCCCTGGCTTTTATACGCAGAAAACCAGCTATTGTGGCACACACGGACTGTGGAACTTTTATAGGATGCTGGAGGGGATTTCAGAAAGAAAAAGGTTGAGAACCCCTGTCCTAGAGGCTGGAGCTTTTCCAAGAGAAGGCAAGGATCTGGCGGGAGTTTTAAAAAATGAAGGGAGGGGCGGGAATTTGGTTTCAATAAAGTCACAGCAAAATCCGATGTGGCACAGAGAAAGGCCATAGTCCCACGAGTGAGTGGTCTCAGGTGAGTAACTGCTCACTCATGGGGATCACAATCTGGTTCATCAAGTTTACAGAGTGTGGCCAGAGGGAAGGGTTAATTGTAGTTTTAGACCCTTGGATTTTAAAAAACAAACAAACCAACAAACAAAACACTCATGGGCTTGATTCTGTCACACTTCCTCTTGTTGATGACGCCGTAAGTGGGTTTTAGCCCACGAAAGCTTATGCCCAAATAAATGTGTTTCTAAAGTGCCCCAAGGACTCCTTGTTGTTTTTACTCCTTGAGTAGTCCCACTGATTTCAGAGGGAGGGGGCTACTCCCGGAGTAAGATGCTACTCAGGGTGAGGAAGGGTGGCAGGATAAATGCGTGGGTGGCAGTTGTTGTTTTTTTGGATTTAGCCCCTTGATGTGCAAAAAGAAGGAGCAAAATTATTTACTGAAGGGGGTGGGATAGGAGAGGTCCCAGTCTAGAAGCCCCTCTTGCCAGCAGTGGCACCCACACCCACTATCATCCTCTACCTTTTGCATGCGGCTGTTGCAAGCGAGGGTCACTTTTCATTCCTGGGCTCCAGGGAAACTCAGCCACGACCCCTCACCCACCTCCCGCCAACAACAAAAAAAAAAACCCGAGCTGCAGCTGGGGCCGTCGGTGGAAAAGCCAGCTCTAATCTCTCGCAAGCCCGGTGCTATCAACGCTTGGATCAGCCTATCTAATGTAAACGGGCTTTCACACATAGATAACGTGCCACATCTGGCTCTTTGGTTTTTACGGCGTCTTAGCTACAGAGCGATTTATGGAGGGCGGTGGGGGAGAGTTGGACATTGCACCGCACCCGGCTTGGGTGCCACATGCAAGGTGGGGAGTGGGGCCGGGGGGAACAGAGCCAACCCCCTGGCCGGCCGGGGAAGGCCGGCTCTGCGGGGATCCGGGTGCGAAGGGGCCTGCCTGGGAGGCCGGGCACGAGTCCGCCGGCTGGGAGCAGCCGGGCCTTCCAGGAACCGGCGTGTTTGCGCTTCTCCCCAATTTATGACCGCCGGCCATATGGCCAATATTTCGCCTCGCGCGTCACGCGCCGCGGAGGAAAACAAACAGCGCGGGGCAAGGCGGAGAGGGGGAGCGCCGGGCGAGCGGCCACGGGGCCGGCCCTGCAAAGCGCCGCCGGAGACAATGTGAGGGGCAGCCGAGCCGGGGCGTCGCGCGTGGCTATATAAAGCGGCCCCCGCAGGCCCCGGCGCAGCAGACAGGCGCCTTCGGAGCTCGCCAGCGCCTCGCCCACCGCAGAGCAGCTCCCGGCTCGCTCCAGGTGAGCCACTGGGCGCTTCCTCCTGGCCATGGGGCGGGGGAGGGAGCCGGGTTACCTGGAGGGGTGGGGAGGGGCATGGTGGGGGGGTGCCGGCTGCTGGGTGTAACTTTAGGGGGGTCTAGGCAGCGCCCCGAAGTACAGAAAATGGGGGGGGAGGTAGATTCGCCCTGGGGGTGAGGTCGTTCAGCGAAAGACAGAGCAAATTGGGAGGAACAGATGCGTCTACACGGACAGCGGAGGTGGCTGGCTGGCGGGAGAGGTGGCTACGTGGCTGTCTGGCGAGATGGATGGATGGCGAGCGGGCGGGAGGGAGGGACGGACAGGTGGATGGGGAGCTGGTCGGACAGACATCGCTGTTCCAGGGGCACTGGGTCCTCCAAACGAGGTGGGGGGGAACTCGCCGAGGGTCCCCCAAGCTGGATCACCGGGGTGCAAGGTGCTAGCTGGCTTCCCAAGGGCTTTTGGGGGGGGAGTTTCCTTTCCCCCCCCTCCAGATCTTGTACAAACGGACGCTGATCTCTCCTGGCCCGGAAGCAGCAGGTGGGAAGGGGGGTCTGCTGCTGGGGGCAGAGGATGGCGCACTAGCGGTTTGCACCCGAGCCTCGCCGCTTTCACACCGCCCCCTTCCCACGCACAGAGCCGGTTAAAGTTTTACCTGGGCTTGCGCAGTGCAAAGGTGAGCAGCTGCTTGTGAATTCCGCGGAAGAGGGGGGCGGAGGTGGCGTGGCCGGCGATGGGGGGGGTGGGGGAGGCTACCCAGCCCCCCCGGGCGGGGTGCACTGTGCGGGGGTCAGTCTCGCCCTCTGCGAGAAGGAGACGTCGGGCTGCGCTCGGGTCTTGCTTCAGCTGCCCGCGAGAAGCGTTTGTCCTGGGGCACCAGTGCAGGGGCTGCAAGAGGGACCAGCTGGATAAGGGGAAGGTAGCGACCCAAAGCGCTCCGGTGAGCGATTGCTTTCGCCCCAACCCTGAACCTCCTCGGGTCATTTATTACCTGCCTGCTCTAGACACTCGAGAGCTCAGAATCCCCCCTCCCCACAGACACCCCCTCCACTCAATTACTCAACGTGGGTGGGTGATTTCACAGCCCTAGCTGCTGACAGCGCGGCCAAGCCTGTGCCACAAGGCGGCTGGGTGGGTTTGTTATGTGAAAGGTCTTGGGCTGGGGCTGTGGGTTTCCTGGGGAGGAAAGGTGAGCGGGTAGGTTACAACTCCCTTCCTTGTGCCGCTGGGACATTTCTCGCTTGAGTCAGTAGAGTCCGCCAGAGGATCAGGAATGGTTCAAAAGTAACAATTTGCACTCGGCTGTCTCTTCCCCCTTGCGCGGGGTGTTTGTGATTTCATCTTCACCTTGCGAACTTAACGCAACGCGTTGGTCCAGGTTTAACCCTCGCGTTTGCATCCCAGAGCACCAGAGTCGTTGTGGTGGTTTGTTCTGGGCTGCAACTCCGCTCTTCCTCGGAGCTGGGTTTTCCAATCAATCGGTGGGGGCAATCGATTTAAAACTCGCAAATCCATCCCCTTCTTTCCTTTCCAGACTCCACAGGAGTGAAGAGCTCCGCTTAAGGTGCCTCAAATTAATTTCAGTTTCAAAATTAGTCCATCCTTTTAAGCTTGAAATAGACATTTTTTAAAATCATTATCAATGGCTCGCTTTAAAAAAAAAACAACTCCTACCTACTGGGTGGAGATATGGGAAGTAAATTCAGATAAGCAAGTGCTTTCAGCGCCGTATTTCATAAAGAAATGATAGATCTCCTGCATTCAAATTGCCCTTATCAAACAGAGTTGGGGTTGGTTTTTTTCCCCCTTTGGAAGAAAGAACACTTCTGAGACAGACTGCCAATGCTTAATCTCATTGGGACACGTTTCATCATTAGAAAGAGGCGAACGAATAAAGCTGAAGGGTTTGCTTGGGGGGACCAAACATTTGGCTTACAAATAAAACAGTTCTAATAGACTGGAACGGAAAGGATACGCCCGGGGCCAGACTTAAAGCTTTTACAGAAAAAATCAGCAACTCGGCGGTTCCCAGTGTCGCAAGTCACAAATCTCCTGGCTTCCCGCTTCCGTAAGGTGCGGGAACACACTGCCCGGCGTCTGCATGGTCTATGATTTGTATTGGCAATATATTTCAAAGATCTCATTAAAGTGCATTTATCAAAGTCCTAACATGGGCCCTCGGGTCTGACATAACCCACAATGTGACCGATTAGCCCACGGGGGGAAAAAATAATTTCTATTCCAATTTTACCACTGGGGGGGGGGGATGGTGAATTGAGACTGTTATCATAGTTGGGGCTTGAGGGAGGAAAAAAAACAAAGAATAATCATAAGCATGAAAAGCTCATTTAGATTCCTGTGTCCTGAACACGATGTAATTGTTTCTCTGTGAAGATTGCATTTTCACTGCCTGGATAGCACATTTCGCTGATTCCTTGACAGAGTAGGGTTAATATGAGCTGTGCAGATCAGAGCGTATTTGTCTATGCTTAAAACACGGGTAAAGTCTTTGCTGCTGCAATTCCTCCAGCCACGAAAAGAGAAGGACATTTCCCCATCAGAAACATTAACCCTCCCTCATTATAGCCAATGAAGAAGCCTTTTTTAATCAATTTAAGAGGTTGCGATGCTCTGTTATTCTACAATCTCAGAGGCAAAGGAAAACGCTGATTTTTGTTAAACCTCCAAGGATTTCACATGGGCAGGTCCTTATTTCAGTCGCCTTTCTTGTTGCTTAGACTTGAGTTTTAGGGGCTGTTATTGTTCGCTCCCTTGATTGCCCTTGCAAAGTGCTTTGCAAAACATAACCAGAAATACTGGTGTCAAGTGAAAGAGCACGCCCATTTAAATGTGGTTTTTATACATAGGTGGATGTATGCTTAGATATATAATAAGGCTATAAATTTGTGGGCTCCGAAGCCCTGCGGTTTTAAGTTGCCTATTCAAGGGAAGAGCTCTCGTATGTTACATTTTTTTTAAAATCAGCAACAAAAGATGACACCTCTTATGGCTGCATCTCTCCTTTTCCCCCTGCAACATTATAAAACAAAGCCTGTATTGTTTCCTGGCATGTTTCGAAGGTGAATCTCTTCATAACAATTATCAGAAGTAGACGGGGCTATATTTTCCTTCCCCATTGATTTCAAGTGTCTTCTATCTAAGAGTATCAAACCAAAGATAAAATAAACCTTCTCCCCGAACAAAGGCTTTGTGTCAGCTTCACTAATCCTCACCAGAGCGTTAAGGTGCAATATGTTTTGTTTGTCTGGAGTGAATGAAAACAATTTCTTGCACCTTTGCTCTAATCAAACAATAAAGTAATCCACTTGAAGGCTGTTATCTGAGATGGGATGTTGTGATGGGTTAGAGGTCAGCCCCATATACTGTACGGGGAGGAAAAAAGGGACTTCTGTTAAACACCTTTTCATTCACGAGGAGAAAATGAAGTCAAACAAATTAGGGGCTTAAAATAAATGGAATGACCTTGTACTTTTTAATGACTGGAAACCCTTCTGACCACTAGCAAAACTAACGCATGTCGTCTCCTCCGGCTCTGGAATACCAAGGCCAAGTGATTGTTTTAACTGGGTCGTTCCTTGCCTACTACAGTATAAAGGTCTCTATCCACTTTAATCCAAGCCACTTCTTTTGCTGGCTCTAGATAATAGACCCATGATTTGCTGCCTTGTCCTGGGATAGTGGGGGAGCAGATATTGAACGGGCTGATCGGGCTGACAGATGGGGAAACACGTTTTCACACGCAGCCCTGGCCATTCCCATGTGTGCCCTGTGACAGAAATTCAGCCTTGCATTGGCACCTTTCTCCCCATGGCGCAGGGACCCAGAGCAGAGGCTGACCCTAGCACGCTTCCTTCGCGAGGCATGTCTGTGTTTTCGGAGGGCGGCCGCGTTCATTTGAGAGAGGTGGCTCTTTGCCTCCCTTGCCCTCCCCGGCTGAAGCTAATGCTGTTGAAATGTCTTCCCGGGGTGCGCTGCAGCCTTAAGGAGCCCGCATTCCAGACACGAGTGAAAAAGGCAAAAAATGCCTCGTGTTTGAGCTACCTGTAAAAGTAAACAGGTAAACACTTCCCCACTCCTAGAGGGCACTTGTGCTGAAGTACCGCCACTTATACTGTGTACACGTACCTCTCCTTTTCAGCCTCTTGTTCGGTTGTTCAAATAACCCCTCCATCCTATAATTCCGGGGCTTAAATTCAGCGGGATCTGTCTGAAAGAGCATTCCAGCCTTTTTAAACAGCAGGGTCAGCGCTCGCTCGGTTTTTCAGGGTTAGCCGAGGGCTTTGCTGCAAGGCAATTTGACTGACGCTTTGCGAGGGGTGGGTGGGTGTGTGTGTGTGTGTGTGTGTGTGTGTGTGTGTGTGTGTGTGTGTGTGTGTGTC